TTCTTTCTTTCTTTCTTTCTTTCTCTTTCTTTCTTTCTTTCTTTCTTTCTTTCTTTCTTTTCTTCTTGCCTGCCTGCCTGCCTGCCTGCCTGCATTTTTTGAACTATTGGCATTTAGTGTTTATTGAAAAATGTATAACCTACTCCTGGTAATACTTTCAGGGCAGCTGGCAATTGAAAACAAATATAAAAAGCCAATAAAAAAATCAATATGAATTGAAGCAGTGTAAGTAAAAACATACCATGGGAGGTAAAGAATCAAAGAGCAGCAGATTTAAAGTGAGAGTCAACTAACATTTAAAAAGATCAGAACAAATCAGAAATTCTTTGCTTGGTATCAGAATGATATCAGAGTCAGCCCCAGAAGCATTTAATAAGTGAGGCATTATTGACAAAAAGGAACTCAAAATAGTGCCTATCCCCCAGCGACCATAACTTTAAATGCAGACGACAGCCACAAAATATTTACTTTCTGGAATAAATCTTCTACGACAGGAAGTGGTTCACAATGTTCTGGATGGAGAACACCATTTTGCATATCCATGCTATTTATGCAGAAATGGGAATTCTGGAATGTGCCATTCCCTCCCCCCCCCCCCCCCCCCCCCACGTATAGCTCAATTTACTTGATTCTTGGATACATAACTGATGTCTATCTGATTTTCACTAATCCTAAAAATTCAGCAGGGATAGGACTTGGGAATTCCAGGCTGTTGAGTAACCTGGGAAGTCTTGAGACATCCTGGAAGAAAGCAGCAACAATCCATTCCTTACAGCTTCCAAGAGGACTGCATGAACGATGCAGCCTGAGAAGTCAAGCTTGTTATGAGACATCTTTACCTTTGCCCTAGAGACAAGTAACAGGGCTGTTCCAGGTGGAGATTCAGGTGCAAGATGGATTGAGATGAGTCCCTATGGATCATATGATGCTGTGACCATACCCTTGCCATTTTTAAAATGCTGGCCTATTGTCAGCCTCGCGAGGTAGTCCAGACAAGAAGCATACCCAGAAGTCCTAGCTCTAACTTTATTGTAAGGTTACATTAACAGAATCTTGCAAGTCTGAAAGTGCATCTCTCCCCCCTCGCCTTTACAGTCCAAGAAACTAGGAAGGGTCCCTTCTGAGACATTTGCTACACCCTCATTCCTTCTGTGGACTCAGCTGCCTCTTACCTTACCATTGCCTAGTCCGCAGCTCTTCCTCCTGTCTCCCAAGGTCATTCCCACATGCCATTACACCTATCTAGCAACAGTTTCAGCCTATTCTCCAAAAATGAAACCTTGTTCCACGCAATGAACATTATTGTATTGCAGAAGCAGATTCACTTCACCATTTTGTCTTCCAAAAGACCATCTAAGGGTGATGCCCAGCCAATAGTTAAGTACACATGGACTGGCTAATATTTCTCCATATTCAGCTGCTGGCCAGGAATTCTAGAATCATAGAGTTGGCAGGGACCTCCGACACTACTGAGCACCCCAAACCCCCACAGCACATGGGCAGATCACACACGCAACCTGCAAGAAAAAAAATACATGCTCTCTCCTCCCAGCTCCCCCACATGGTGGGTGGGCAGGCCCATGGTCGAGGGGCTTCCCAATAAAGCAGGAGCAGAGAGCAGCATCTCCTGCTTTACTGGGAACCCCTCCAGTGCCTGCTGGATGAGGGTGCACTGGAGATGAGGATGCAGCTTCCATCACCCCACCTCAGTAAATCAGGTGTTACAAAGAGAGGTGAGATCAGATTTTGACAGACAGCCATCTGTCCACCCTACTGCACATCAGGGGAAGTGATTGGCAGATGTCTTTTTCACTGGCAGGGAATCCACCAATTACTGCACATTAACTTCTCCCCACAGCAAACTTTTAAGACAGCACTATTCATTGACTGGACTGCAGGCTGGCTATTTGGAGAGAACGACCACAGTCTGGAGAACAGCAAGTTTCCCCCGCTCTCTGGATATCCCCACAGATTCAGAAGCATAAACGTGCCCCATACACAGCCTCCCAGTGCTCGTAAGCCATCAAAGCAGTTCCAGTCCTTGATTGTTCAACCCAAAGAGTTGGACAGCTGAAAGACTGTTTGTCTGGACACACCCTTGATAATTGCTTTGTACTATTATTGCAAAAAATGCATCTTTATAAAATGTCCAGGACACTCCAAAAACAAGTCTGATATCTGTTGTCTTTAGCTAACACCTCCTGAGCCCAAATGGGAAAAGATTAAATATGGAGCCTGGTACCTCCCTCCCAAGACATGGAAAAAGAGACAAGCAACTGGGCAGGAAGAAATTCCTGAATGTCTGCAAGTATTTCTGAATGTCAGGAAAAAGATTATCCAAAAGGTAATGTCAGAGCACTCTATGTTGCATTTCATATTGGTGGCTCCCCTCATGGTTGGTCCTCCCCACTACTTGGGGGAGGCCTGTTTTAAAATTATTGTTTTAATTTTAATTACTTAATTTTACTTAAGTTACTTAAGTAAGTAACTTAAAGTAATTAAGTTACTTTAATTACTTAAAGTAATTTTAATTACTTAATTTTTTTCCAGTTCTGTCTTGGATTTGCTCTTCAAATCCTTTAGGAATATTGGAGGAGGGAACATGCAGTTTCTTTGGGCAGTAATCTGCTTCGCTGTTCCCCAGTTTTATGAAGTATCTTCTGGGTCATTGGAGACAAATCTGAGATGATGGAAGAGCTGTCATTCTTGCCTTTGCAGGGAACTTGAAATAAAAACCAGGGCACCCCACAAGCTATCTGTAACCCAAAAACCCTTTTTGGTGTCCCCAAACCCTGCTGAAATAGCCCTGCTGAAATTTGACTTCATACTACTGATCAATTGAGGGATGATTTCCCAACGTTTGGTAGTTAAATAGATGGTGTGACGTGAGCTATAGGCTTGACACATCTCAAAAAACCGCAACCCCTACCAGAATCTCCATCTGCCGTATCCCCAGCAATAAAAATGTACCAAGGTCACCAGGTCTACCTTTCAGAATGGGCTCTATCCCTGTTACAGCTTCTAAACCACCCGAGTTTCCAAATATGAAAGCAAATCAAGGGTCACTGCACAAAATACATAGAAAATGCTAGGAAGGGGGGAAATGCTATTTTATTTGTGAAGAGTTGCCCTGAAACCTCTTTGTTTTTTTATTTATTCAGCTAAAACTGTATCTGTGAAAAATAGCATGGTCTCCATGAACACCAAGATATAAATGTTTATCCAAGACAGGTTTCTCTGAATGATACCATTGGAGGCTTACAATGTTCTCCTGGTGCATGTCTGTGTGTGTGAATATATAATATGCTAATCTTATATAAGCTTCCAATTCTATTTCTGGGGGAACAATGATCAATAATACTTTATTGGGTCACCTTTTTGCCCCAGATCTTGAGATCAAGGTTTAGGGATGGAAGTTTCCTGAGAAGACTGTATTCACAACATCTTATCCCCTAACACAATTTAAGTTTTCCTTTGATGTGAGAAATGAACAAAATCTCTTGCAGAACAAGGGAGGATGGGAACCACCACTTCACGGAACGTATGCCTTTGAGCATTTCCTTGAAATGAAAGGCTACAGGAAGCCCAAGGTGAGTGAACTTGGATTTGATCCCATGAAGACACTGGGATTTGGCTGCTGTACCTGATGGAGGGAGTGTTTTTCTATCTACCTTAGAGCGGCCAAATTTGTGACTGCCAGGTGAGCTATCTGCCGGCCTGCCAACCCTTCACAGGTCCAGTTAAACAGCAAAAGCAGGAGGTTTGATATTGTTCTGATTGCAAGGGCAATGGGCTTTATTCCGTTTGATGGATTATATCTTTTACAGGCCTGGTTTAATGCTCTGAGAATAGCATGGTTCCAGGTGAATGAAGTTTTTGGGTACATTGTTCTGGCACATGGATTTTGTCAACCTTGTTGTCAATCCATCCAAAGTCAGACTAGGCAATTAGGAAGAGGATGTATTGGGCCAGAGATGGTGTATGCCCCAGAGCCAAGTAAACATGGTCAAGGCTGATTGTTGTTCAGGCAAAAGCTAAACTGGACCTAAAACCTTGTTTTGCCCAATCAGATGTGGAGAAAGAGTGAAGTGAGCTAAAGGAAGGGAATTGGTGGTGACTTTGGGCATTTGAGGATATCTTAGCCAAGAGGACCTTTCATGACCTTTTCAAGTGCTCTTCTGAAATCAGAAAACAAATCACAAAAGACCTGCTTCTCAGCCTCCGAGTGTTTCACAGATCCTTACCACCACTTTTCTCATAGTGAACCTAATTTCAAGAGCAACTCGCTTAACCTTAACAAGGAACTGTTGGGACTGCAATGGAGACTCCAAATGCAGGACAGGAGGGAATAAAAACAAAACCTCTACCAGGAGGGGGGCATGGTGAAAGAGAATCATGGTTTTATTGAAAATCAAGGCAAGAGGAGTTTGCTAGGAATCTGCAGGTGCAATGCTATTCTGAATTTAAGTACAACCACATGGCTCTTTGAATACAGGCCCAGAGAGATTTTTAAAGCAATTTGAAAGCAGATGGAAAATGGAGTGGCATGCATTAGCACTAGAACATTCATACTGATCCTTTCAAGAACCTTGTAATGTAGGTCAGTTGTATTATTCTCCTCTTGCAGGCAACTGAAGTCATCCAGTCATTTGATTGGTGTAGAGGGAAGACTGAACCAGGGACTTCTTGATTCACAGCTTGGCCCCTTGGTCTCATCAGATGCATTAGCTCGACTATTGCCTCTGACCAAACAGGCTTTCCCAGCACTGAAACAAAAAAACATAAACGAATCCAATTCTCCATTTTAGAATCCTCATTTTAAGTTACAGTAAGCACTGGTATTTTGTAGTTCAGTCTTTTGCTTCTGTATTCTGCTGGGTCTTAAAGTACATAGAGAGTTAGGGCTCTGAACAAGTATGGGAGTAGGGAATTTGTTGGCAGGAATGGTTACAAGGCTGGTTTCCGAAGCATTAAGTAAATCTTTGCAAAGTGTCCTTAGGAAAAAGCAGGTAAGAAAAGGGAGAATGATAAGGATGCATAACCTTTTACCTAGTGGCTCTGGCCCTCTTAGAAGTAAATGCACACAGTGCATGCCTCCAAAGAAAATGGGCATTGAGACTACGTGTACCACACCCACAGATAGTTTAAAGGTCACTTTGTGGGTTAGATTTCATACACATGTGCTTTTTTTGCACAAGAGTATACTTAAGAAATAGAAGGAGGAAGCCCTATGCACACTGCCTTGAGTTCCTAAAAGAAAAGGAGGAATTTAACTCAACATCATCATCATTGTCATCAGCAACAACAACAGATAAATTCTGCAGAAACAGGAATTACAAGGAGTGTCAGTTTATTTGCTACTCAGTGGCAAAGGTGGGCATAATGCCACATATTCCTGGGGGGTAAAGCACTGGAGTGGCAGACAGTAATGATGGCAAGTGTAAATTAAGCCACATGAACAGAAATTGCCTTGGCCATGTTGGCGGTTGGTAGGCATTGTTGGGAGATCCATACATAATCAATAGGAATTGTGATCACAGTGTCCTTTTGGACTGACTAGCAGAACTGGGAATACCTCGTTCTGCTTCAGTGAGTCTTTTCCTACCTCTTATAGAAGATGGCCCGGAAGTTCTCTGTTCTCTTCCCCTGGAGTTGTCTGACAGGTGTTGTCATATCTGACCTACAGTCAGTCAGTCTCTCTTGCACCACCCATTGAAGTACATGCTCTAAGGCTTGGAAACAGGCATCTTAAGACTACTGGAGAAATAGCCTTGGTAATTAGTTGGAGGCTTATGTGGGGAACACACACACACCATAACTTCCCAGGGACAAGGGAGTACATAGAGAATTCCAATAGAAGAGCATATACGTAGTTCAGGGTTGAACTGTGGCGTCCTCAGAGAGCACACAGATAATTCCTCATTAACCCCCTAGCTTTATTGAGTACAATATAGCCAAGTTTTGTTTAAGCACTTTCATCTGCACGCACCTTTCTCTCTCACAATTCCACCAAGCAACTAATTCAGGAATCTGAGGGGAATGGAGAAAACAAACTGCAGCTTCAGAGGTTGTGTGTACATGTGCTATTTCCTAACCAGTTTCCTCTCTTGCTCTCCTTTTATAGCATTATTCTTCCTTTCTGCCCTGGCTGTGCCTCATTGGTTGTTGCTGGGCTAAGTCAATCTTGCCTGATGTGTAATTTTCACGTACTGACTGGCTTCTGGACAAGTTAGGTTTGGTTTCAAACTGGGTCATTCACTGGTATTTGCACATCCAAGGCTACATTCCTTAGATTGCTTTGTTCATTGTTTTTCTATGGCCATTGCCTACGATGGAACCCATACATTTTACAACAGCGCTTCTGGGGGCAAAATAGACATTTGGGTTTGTTGAAAGGGCTGCAATGACATCAGTGTCCTGTTGTTTCTCATTGCTTGTTAGAATCAGCTTCAGGTTGAGTGCTTGTCTGTATTCAACTACGAGCTTTTCACCCAGTGCTTGAGAAACTGCATTGTTATTGTCCAGGATGGGCTTTGAGTAGTCTGAGTTATGGGCTGTAGGTCCCCCTACTTGAAACATCACAGTCCCCTTGCAAGGAAGTTTCCTCACAACATGTAGGTACTACTGACCTCTCCACAAATGATTGAAAAATATAGGCAAGGTTTCTAAATTTTTCCAAAGTTTTGTGCCACTTTGACCTTTCTGAGTTTTGGTCAGATGGAGAAAGTTGATTTATTTCTTACCACATATTTCTTAATATATGTTTTAAAAGGTTTCCTAAGTATTAGTTTGAACTAATGTACTTTGAATTGTATTGTAAACCAATACAATTGCTATTGCTCCTTAAGCAGTGCTTAGAAAGGATAATAAATAAAATAATAAATCTAGGTCTGAGGACCAGCAATCTTGCAGTGATAAAGAGGGAATCATGTACTTCAAAAACATCCAGTTCATCTTGGATTCATTTCAGGTGCATCTGAGCTGAGATCTTAAGTATGGTCAGATTACCCTCCCTATGCATGTTGGGGGGGAAAAAATGACAGCGTAACGCTATGCATGTTTAGCAAAAGCCACACGAGGTTCAATAGAACATAAAGGCAAACTTTTTCCTCCATTTGTAGACTTGAGATTTGCTTTTGATTTAACCTCCAGATACATTCTGTGAACTAAACAAGCTTCTACTTTTATAATCAGCTTTTGTTTCTCATCCAAGTCTTGCACAGCAGTGCAACAGTTTAAGTCTGTATAATGTTGTTAGACATGTAATTCTGCTGCTGGATTATGTCAGAGAAGTATGTTGACTCCCACCCTTTTCAGCACACTCTACATGGCCAGCATTTTCTCATAAACTGGCAGATCGGGCTATTGTAATTCGGTTGCATTCAAATATATGCAGTTCCACTTTCAGAAGCATCTAATGGGGCTGATTAGGCTGATGCCTCAATATCCTAAGAAATAAAATTAGCCATAATAAACAAACTTATTATGAGTTTCTAGCTGTGCCCTGAAATGTATGTAGTAAGCAGATGGTCCTATGCTAGAGCAGGATATTCAGCTGAAATACTGGGGCATTTGGTTTCGGTTTTATGCTGTTCAAACTGACCACAGAAGTGCAGCTATTAGGAACTCCAGACCCTGTCATTAGATTAAGGAAGGACAACGCCTATCTGCTGTTGGGAACATCACCCTGGCTATATCACTGACTCAGCTATTATATTAGGTCACAGTCTAGACTGCAGAAATAAATAAGGTTGAAAGAAATCTTTCCAAGGTTTTCAAAACAACTTTGGGAATATCTAATTGTCCCACCAGGAAGCAGCATCTAACCGACTTTGTCCTGCTTGAACAAGCAAAGCAGAGTGAAACCTGATTAGAACTTGGATGAGAAATTATGAGGGAATCTGTTTAGGCTGGGTGCTTGAAAGATATCATGCAACCCTTGGAAGAGAGAAATGACACACCACTTCTTCACTGTTATCAAGAAAATAACACTGATATCTCTGTACTCTTCAAGAGTTGAGCTGGAGGGAGAACTTTTCCTTCTTAACTGTCTGGCACAATCAGTTATTCATAGATTAAAATCTGTAAACTGTAAAACAAGTAGTACATAGGTGAATAGGCAAGTCTATAGGCCAAAATGAAGTATAATATTAGTGAATTCCGAATCATCAAAAGAAAAATAAGTGGAAAGTAATTCATCCCTCAGATTACATTAAATAGATTTCATAAATCCAAGAATCAACTGCTTCAGTGTATTACTAAAACTGACAAATTGATGTAGCAATATCACTGAAGATGTTTTTCCCCACTTTGATTTGACAATTGGGTAACTTTCTTGTTCAGATTCCTATGGATCCATATTACTTCCAATCAGTGCATTATATTGTACTTAACAAGGCCAAATGTTTTTATCTCTGTAATTTTGGGAGACCGCAATAAAAATACTTCAGAAAACAATAGAATTTGTCATTGCAAAGCAATAGAATCTTTCGCCTGTATTGTTTTACTTATTTATTTGGGCCATTCATTAAATTTATATTGCCACCCAATTCCATAAAGACTCTGGGCGGCATATAATAATAAAATTATTACTAAAAAAAATACAAAAAAATTATGAAAAGATAATAAAAGAAGATAATAAAAGATATGCGAAGTAAAACCTAAAAGTATATACAAAAAGCGAGAATCTAAAAGAATGGGTAGGAGCATTAGATGGGTGTAGGGGAGCATAAAAGGTCAGTATGTGGAAGGCTATAACTACCAAGTTACAAAGCACTCTAAAATGGCGAACCAGGTGGTCATTAAATCTAGTTTATGGCCCAGGTCATCACCTGATGAATTCTGAGCGCGAACCAGCACCAGAATTGCACCCAGAATTCTCTTCTTGAAACCACAAGTAGGTGTCAGGAAGGCTCTCACAATATTCAGAGGCCTTAAACCTTAACACAAACCCACTAGGCCATCCAATGCCATATCTAGGGTTGTCCACAAAAAGAGGGAGGCAGCACTTCATCCACGAGGCAGGTGGCTTGTCTTGGTGCATGAAGACCAAGAAAGTTTCCTGTTAGGAGACTTTCCTAACAGACAGTTCAACTGTTTAGCCACAGTGAAATGCCAGCCCAGAATGCTATTGCTAAAGACCCAACAAGGCGGTCTGCTCTCAAGGAATATGGATATCCCCCCCAAAAAACCCTAATGCCAACAGTGATGATGAAGTGGGTGCTAAAGATAAAAAGGGCTAATATGACCCTTTCTTCTCCTCCTCCTCTTTAGCAAGGGATCCATCCAGAAGCAAGTAAACTGTCCTTGTGAACCTTTCTTCCAAGACTAAAATGAACTCTGCTGACTATCCTAATTCCATTTCTCATGCAATTCTATAATCACTTTTAACTTTTTAAATCCCCCCTCCCCATTTTTTCTCAATGGATTCTTAAAGTCTATTTCAGCTTCAGATCATCGGGAAGACAGGGGAGGTGCATTTCTTCTTCAGTCTGAACTGCCCAAATTGATTTGCAGTGCTCAACCCCAACAATATGGCCCTATCATTGCTAGAATGTAGGTAGAGATGCAGATGTGAAGAAGCATCACCTTCTCCAGTTCGCTTTCTCCAGATACGTCAGACCACAACTTCCAACATGCCAACTTAAACTTATGAGAAAGCTCGAGAGACCCATGTTGGGTGGACTTAGGCCAATCCAATTTATGCTTGCAGTTACTAATCTATTAAGAGATGACAAAATGTGCACGTGCACACACACATACACACTTTGCTGCATTACGGATTTGGTTCTATGTACTTGCAGGAAAGGTTCTTGGTGCCCACCAGATTCTCTGCCCCTGTAGAAAGTAAGGAAGATGACCTTGACAGAGAGATGCAAGGAGGGATGAAACGTATCTTAAGTCCACCAGACAGAAAACATTTGGGAGAGGCTCAGATAGACGCCTCCTTGCTCTGGTAATGGAGCTTGCATAACTCCATCAAGGTCTTCTTCCTTACTTTCTACAGCCCCATTTCATTTAATGTTTTTTAAAGGAATCTTTTAATTAAAAATAAATAAATGGGAAGCAGGCATGCTGCAGTGCAAAAGCTCATCCTCTTGATCTTACCTCTCTATCAATCTCAAAAGGCAAAGGGGAGATTCAGGTACTTAGCAACCGAAACCAGTAGTTAAAGGTGTGTGTATTAGGACTAATCTGTGTTTTATACCAAATTTTCCTCTTTCCTTCCCTCCTCTTTATCAACATATCAGTACTAATTCCTCTCTATCAGCATATCAGTACACAGGAAAGGACAACATTATTTCCAAATCCAAAAGTTCTGGTAAATTAACAGGGAGAGCCAAAATCTCAATACAAGAGACAGTAAAATCAAAAATTGAAAGCAAGAAAGTTGGTGACATGAAGAAGCTACAAGAGAATACAATAAAGCAGCTCAGGAGGATGTTTGCCTTCCTCCTATATGTTTGGAAATGAAAACTAATCATCCATCGTCGTATGACTTCTAATATGAACAAACTATATTCCAGACAACCCTTGAAAATGAGTCTACCTTAACTTTCTTTTTAACTTGTTCCATCTCTTTGCTCTATACTTTTCTTCACTGTTTCATTCAGCAGAATCATGCAGTAAAATTTATCTTGGACTGCTTCAGTCTGTAGTAGAGAAGATACCATTGACATGTTAATAATCCACCCCTCTCCACACCTGCATAGACAAATTGCTTCGGCCAGAAAAAAATTCTGTCAGAAGATACCCAAGCAGTATGGCAGTGAAAGTGGTTCTGCTTAGCTTTTCCACTTTGGAAATATCTCCTCCCCAAAGCCAACAAAGAGTGGTGGGTCTGTATGAGCCATGGATTTTCCAGAGACATGTTAGATTATACAGTGTATTTCAGTTAAAAACAGTACCTTGAGAACTGAAGGCAATACTCGGATCTCAATCTGGGTAGGAGTTTTTTGAGAGCTGGCTTCCATGAGCACGTCTCTTAACTTTGGAGTAGAAACTGAACGCAACAGTAGTTATCCTGATGGACCCATTCGATTTTCTTTGGAGCCCAGAGTAGAACATTAGAGACTAACAATAAAGTGTTATGGGAGGGGAGAAAGTTCTGTGCCTGGATTAAATCTTCTCAACCATTTCCATCAAATTTATACAGCTACTGCTCTTCTAGTGTGGATTCACATTCAGATATTGGTAAGTATCAGCGATGTTCAGGATTGAGTCATGATAGTGGTTTGCTTAAAACTATCTCGACTGAAGAGTGAGTAGGCTTTTCCAAAACTGTAAATCAAAGCAGGGAACTTGTGATCATCCAGTTCTTGTTGAGTCACAACTCTCATCATCCTAATCACTGGCCAAGCTGGTTGGGGACAAATGAACTAATAATATTTTCAGGGTTGTAAATTCAACACATCATTGGCATAACTTGCTCATGTTGACCTATCAACTTCCACCTATCAACCTACCTGCCCACCCACCACTCTTATATCACTGTGATATTTGATGTCACAGTGGGCTATGAGTGTGGATTATGAATATCTCAGAAAGAAATAAGCTGTGACATGTAATACCCATAAAATATAGTGCTGTGTCTATTTTACTGAGAAAATTATTCGATTTGAAGTTCTGTTTATGTTTCTCTGTTTCAGTTTCTTCTGCAGATGTTGGCTGCAAGTCATTCTGACAAGATAGAAGACAATGAATTTTTCTCCAGGAAGCTTTCTATGAAGGTCCTTGAAGACTTTAAATTACACTCTTCCTCAATCTTTTAAGTTTCCATTCTGCTCCAATGGTGTTAGTTTTAACCTTGGTAAAACCAAGTCAGAAAGCCACCCGTCACCAGAGATCTTGTACATTCCCACTTCTCTTTTTTAGCAAGAGTCAGGCACAGTCAAGTGCAGAGACAAATAAGCCAAGGAAATGGAAGGGAAGGAACGTAAGACCAAGTAAAGTTTGGCCATGAAATGATTGCCCTTACTCATTATATGGGAGTGGAAAGAGTTTTTCAGACTGGTATGTTTTAGGAGGATGTTTATTTTAAATGTGAAAGTAACATTTACAATGTTACACAATGAGAAAAACCCATGTAGTATGTTTTGGCAGTACTTAATAAAAGTTCTTATTTTATTATCTGTGCTTGATTCTCACATGTTCCCTAAGGGTGGCTGTTGGATTTTTACGGTTTCTGGGGAAAGAAAAGCATTTTGTCCTCTTTTGTCTTGGCATGAAGTCAAAGGGCAGCGAGACATTTTTGTAGTTATAGCATTCGGGGAGCATCCAAATAAGAAACTTTTTCCAACAAAAGTGAAGATAAATGAGAGAGCAGTAATAACTAACTCCACCCTTGCAATGGTGAAGGACAGGAACTGTCTACTAAAGATGCACTTTAGAAAACATTTTGCAGCACTGCTGAACAGGAAGTAATAAAACTCCCCATTATTTGTAAGGAGGAACAAGAGGGGACATGGAGGCAAGCATTTGCTGAAGGCACTCCCCTTCTGAGAAGTGTCCTCCCACCAGATAGAGCAGTGTTTTTCAACCTTGGCAACTTTAAGATGCGTGGACTTCAACTCCCAGAATTCCCTAGGGGAATACTGGGAGTTGTCCACGCATCTTAAAGTTGCCAAGGTTGGAAAACACTGAGCTAGAATAATTGAACTCTCCCTTTGAACATTCAGGAAGTTTTTGAAAACATGGCCTTGAAGACTGAGGTAAAAATGGGAGATGTACCTGAGTTCAGGATAAACCTAGCTGCTCTGAGGTTATAAAGTATTATGGTTTTAAATGATGATATGAGGATTTAGGTTGATGGTATTTATTGTAATGGTACACATTATGTTTTGCAATAAGAGTCAGAAGACTGAAGCAGCCAAAATCCATTTAAATCAATCAATCAATCAATAGCTTCCAGAGAATTTTGCTGAGGAGAGATTAGTTCTGATCAGGTTTACTGAAGGATCTTGACCACAGAAAGGAGTATTGTTGTATGAATACAGCCCTGTGTGCCATAGAGCCCTGGTTTGAAAGCAACCTGCATGCTTACAGACAAGAAATTAAAAATACAGAAAAGGATAATAAACTATCCCAAATGAAGCATTTTTAAATCTCATTGATTTTGCAGGAGAAATTTAATAGCATGTAGTTAACTTCTCTCTGGAAATAAATGAGAATTAGAGTTATGATCTTATGCACACTTTCTGGGGGGTTAAATGATCAGTGGCAATTACAAGCATAAGACAGAGCCATAGCTGTGCTTAGTTTTGGTTGAATTATACCCCAAATAATTAGATGCTAAATAATGAGAAAAAAACTGACCTGCCTTCAGACGTGAAACTGGCCTTGTAGCCATCCAACACAAGGATTGCTGGAAAGTCAGGTGTAATGGTATGCGGGAATAACCTTGGGAGACAGGAAGAAGAGCCACAGCCTAGACAACTGCCACGCAAAAGGTATCTCAGCCTACAGAAAGAAAAGGAATGTGGGAAGCATCTCAGAAGGGACCCTCCCTAGTTTTCTGGAAAGTAAAAGTAAAGGAGGGGAGAAGTGCTTTCAGACTTACAAGACTGATGTCAGCTCTTCAAGGTAGTTCAGACAAGAAGCACAAACCATGAAGACAAACTCTACCTTTATTGTAAGGTTACAGTAACAGAATCTTCTAAGACCCTTCTGAGATGCTTCCCACGCCCCTTTTCCTTCTGTGGGCTGAGATATCTTTTGCATGGAGGTTGTCTAGGCTGCGGCTCTTCCTCCTATCTCCCAAGGCCATTCCCCCATACCATTAACCCAGTTGTGATTTCACTGGCACAATGCCAGTCCTGACGGTCCCTATCAAATGGTTAAGGAACTAAAGGCTTTGTAAAATAAATCTGTTGATTGAGTGTATTCATTGCAATTCCAGGGGGATTATATTTTCTAATCTAAGGAATTTGTGGCACCTCTAAAGAAATCCATATAACCCTCCCTACAAATTCCAATACTGCCATTAAAAAGCTCAGATTTAAACATGCCAATTTTAGCAAGGACTGGCTCACTTTTATGTACTCTTAAGAGAATCCATGGATTTGCCCACCCAGCTTTTTCTATTGCAGACCAGAAACTGCAACCCTAAGTAAGAAAGAGTGAGACCGATTAATATGAAGTTAATTAAATATATTTAAATATGTTCAGGTTTCTTAGAATTACAGGACACCACCCACTGGAAAACTCTACTCGACAAATAAAACATGAATGGGAAATCTGGAACCGCCCTATTTCTGATTTTCACTGTTTACAGAGGAAATAATCTGCGTGGATGGGCTTTTGACTTACTGGCCTCTAAACCAAAAGATTTGAAGACGTTACGAGTTGTAGAGTGCAATGCAATCTTCCCCAGGTCTTTATTAAACAGTCTCATGGGTTTCAATAGGGTGTAACAACCTTCTTTCACAACCTCCTTTAACGTGTATGTCCCCTCTCCACACTGGCTGAGGATTATAAAACATGAAGCCTAGGGCATTTGGAGGGCACCAGATTGAGGAAATACGGAACAGGCTTGATGCTGTATTGTAGCATTCGAAGTTGTAGCACTGGTTTCCATAGCTATTTATTTATTTATTGCATTTACGTGGCTGCCCAACTCAGATCACGTGACTGGGCAGCATACAAAAGAAAAGAAAAAGAGAACCCACCCCAATCAATACAAAACAATGTATCTCATTAAAACAGTGTTGTCCAAACTTGGCCACTTTAAGATGAGTGGACTTCAACTCCCAGAATTCCCCAGCCAGCCATGAAGTC